TTTCCCCCCCAAAAAAAAAAACCCAAAAAAAGGGGGGGGGGGGGGGGGGGGGGCATAGAATCAAGGATCCTCGTTTTTACGTTGTATCCTCACGGCAGTCGCCGGAAAAGCGCCAATGAAGACCAACAACCCCCCCAACCCATGAAATGAACGCTGCATCATCGCCCGTATGAGCAGCGCTAACCATTTCAAGCTTCAAGCGTTAACCACCACTGCTTTGTGCCGATGTTCTGTGAAAGCGGGGGGTCTATTCCGCGGAACCCCCCTTGAGTTATACACCGTTTTTTGACGCCCCCCCTTCCCCTTCCTCCCAAGGATGATGACCAGCTTCTGGTGCATCATTGTGAATCGTGGTCTGGGCCGTTGAAAACCGGGCATATCGCGCCATCCCATCACAAAAGGGACGCGAAGTTAGTTGTCTTAACTACTACAGTACGGCATTCGTTTACGTGAGTACCCCCCCCCCCGCCCCGCCCCGTCCAAAATCACGCTATAATAGGCGCGGAAGTCGTCGTCGGCCCGACCGGGGTCACCAGGCCAGCGTCCCCTTGCCTTTAGCGACGCCTCTTCGACGCTAGGGGATGGCCCAGCCGCCTACGGGAGCATGCTCGGCGACCTTACCGGGGGCACGAAGACGGGCGGCGGGGGTACGGCGGCTGGTTCGGCGGTGGCGGCGGCGGCGATGGCCAGGCGCATCAGCCTAGGATCTGGGGAGTGGACCAAGGTATGGTGCTTACCGTATGTTGCGTAAGGTGTACCCATACAGCACCCCCCGGACCCATTTCTTCAAGAACTCGATTGAATACTCTGCAGCAAGAGCGGCGACTTTTGCAGAAAAATGCGGCGTTAGGACCGGAATTCGCCGTATGTTGCGGGAATGCACCGTATGTTGAGTAAGGTGTACCCACACCGCAACCAACTCCTGGACCGATTTTTTCAGAGCTCGATGAAATACTCTGCAGCAATAGCGGTGCCGAATATAATGCCGGCGTCGCAACCGTTTTATTGATTGCTTTCAGAGAATACATCATTGAATTGCTGTGGCAATCTCTCGGTTGTGTGGAGTATTCGGGCTTTTAGGAATCTGCCCACTATAATAGGGCCTGGGGAAACGTGGGCCAAGGTATCTATCGCGGTTGGGCTTGGTCGGCGGGTTGTAGGGGTTGCTGTGCTCTTTTTTGTGTGTGTCCGCCTTGACTTTGTGGCTCTGACCTTGTTTTTGTTTTTTGCGTGATTGGGAGGGAGTCTTGGGGAAGAAGATGCCTGTGTGTAGCGTTTTGCTAGGTGTTTTGTTTTGGGTGGGCCGACGGCGTTTGGTGGGAGGACGTGTGGACCAATCACGTTGCCAGCGGTAAGATCCATCCGTGCACTCCTCCATGGAAGTGATGGAAGCTATTTCTTGGTCCTGTGGTTCCGAAAATATTCGCAGCGATTCCCTTTAAAGAGCTCTCTGGTGTATCGCTCGCCTGTCATCGCCCACCTTTGTCTGTCCACGGATTGGTCGATCACTTGACGAGTTCGTTGCCGCTCAACTCACGATAACTCGGCCTCCTTTTCTCTGTAACGGATGGCCAAGGTGGTGGAAGACAGCGACTCTGATGAAGAAGTCGCGGACGAGGGGACGGCCGCCGCCGCCGCCGCCGCTGCCAGCACGACGTCCATGCGACAACATCTGCCGGGCCTCTCTGAGGTGATATGATGGCTCTGTCTCTCTCTCTCTGGATCTCTCTCTCTCTGTCTCTCTCTCTCTGTGTGTCTCTTTTTGTGCCTCTGTCTCTGTCTCTCTATCTGTGTCTCTATGTATCTCTCTCTCTCTCTCTCTCTCTCTCTGTGTCTCTCTCTCTGTCTCTCTCTGTCGCTGTCTCTCTCTTTGTCTCTGTCTGTCTGTGTGTGTCTCTCTGTCTCTCTGTCTGTCTGTCTGTCTCTGCCTGTCTGTCTCTGCCTGTCTGTCTCTCTGTCTCTCTGTCTGTGTCTCTCTCTCTTTCACTCTCTCTCTCTCTCTCTCTCTCTCTCGCTCTCTCTGTCTCTCTCTCTCTCCCTCGAGAACGGTGATGTCATTTCATTATATGGTAGAGATGGATGACCCTTCAAACCCATTTGTCTCCTCGTAAAGGCAGGCCATGCCGTAAACCTGCCCTCCCGTTGTGCCTCCATGTCGTTTCGTGTGGGGGGCGCGATACAAAACTTGCTGAGCAAGACCGGGAGCATCCGCGACTGCTACGGGGGGAGGGATTTGATAGGAGGTCCCAGCCGCGTGCTTGATACGGCGGCACTTGTCGACCTTTTGGCGGTCGGGAGTATTGGTTTTGTTGTTGTTGTTGTTGTCGGTGATTTAGGTTATGGGAGGGGGGGGGGGGGGGAATTCGTTTCTCGTTTCGCTTGGTATACGTTTACAGCAAGGCAGGATACAAACAATGCTGCCTGTAGTTTTCCTTGTGTCCATCTTTCTCCCACGGAGAATTTCCTTCGTACGCCCCGCCCCCCCCCGTCTCATTTTTGTTGTTTTTTGTCCCTTGTTTCTTCCTCTCCTCTCGTGTCGTCGTCCTACTTGTTGTGGACCACCACTCACGATGATTAAGTTTACGAGGCAATAGAACACAGACCCTATTCCCTAACCCTAAACCCCTTACCCAGCTTCCCCGATTGGACGCTTTATCCAAATGTTTACATTACATGACAAAAAATTGCGAAGGCTACTGTTTGTTGCTCCCCCCCCCGGTGAGGTTGGGTTTTTGTCGTTTGGCAACGGCGTCATAAAACACGCCGATCACTTCGTGAGCTCGGCAACCAAGTTACCGCCAGTTTTTTGCCCTTGTTTTTTTTTTGCGGTAACCATAATGGTGGTCGAAGTGATTATGTTGTGCGGGGTGGAGAACCCCTGACTCCGCGCAAAGGGGATGATCGCACCACGTTGTGTTAATTGGTCAAGCACGTTCGAGGCAGTTACATTGTTCTCATTACTGTCTCTGGGAGTGGAAGCACCAGAAAATAAAGTAAGCCACTTGGGGGCTGTCCTCCGTATGCATGCGAGGAAGTAAGCACAAGATGCCGAACACCCTTCACAGGATGCAGCTCACCCTTCATGCGACTCGCCGAATACCTCACGGTGCTTCGCGCTTGGTGATGTGAGAGCCTGGTCCGGTGAGAACCCGGCGTGCTCCGTCTCGGCTTTGGTAGGGATGCGAGGTCAATGGCCTAACGACTACGGCATGCACGGCTATGAGTACACCCCCCCCCCCCCTGGAAGTAGACTATTCGTGGAATGCACACATATCCAAGGTAGCGGAAAAGGGCAACGTAAGAGCAGGGAAGCTGCACCCAATACTCGTTAATATATGGTTTCTTGCTGCTCGGCTGCTTTTTTCCGAAAAGGTGCACTACCCACTGACCTGGGTAGAGAGCCACGCCAAGGGCATCTCCGACCAGGTCGACCGGCTTGCCAGGGTCCTCGAGGTCTACACGCAGAGGGTCTCAGAAGGAGGCAACTTCCGCTCCAGTCTCCTTAAGAAGGAGCCTCTTTTGCAGTACGTCGCCACCAACCTCCACATCCAGGTACAGCGGTGGGGGGCCCTGTCTAGTATCGGTAACGTGCCCGAAGGATTGATCGGCACTGCTGTACCGGACATCACGCGGGCACTTTCCACAGTACAGAATCACTTGATTGATCAGTCTGTGCCGGCCGAATAATACCGGCACTACACAGGGCCCCCCGATACTGCTGTTCATCCTAAATGCTCTCTTGTTTTTTATGGCTTTGAAGGGTGTGCATGCTTCCAGGCTTGCGGTAGTAATGCTCGAGAGTGGAGGAGGGTGGCGCGTACTTAAGGCCTCCGTGGTTTGTTTTCCGGTTGCGTCAGAGAGGTGGAGGACGTGCTTTCGAATGGGTCGCCCGGGGAGAAGGGGACGTTTTTTTTTTCGCTTCCGAAGGACATATGTTTTTTTTTTTAAGAGAATGGATGGAATGGAAGCATGTTTTCTTGCAGGGGCGTGTTGTTTCCGGTTTGATGAGTCATCGGTCTCGTAAGTGCTGTTGAGCTATGATACTCGGACCGGAGAGAGACCGCCAACAACAATGATGGCTCCCGCGACCCAACGCATGGCCTAACCGAACAAGAAATTTAGTCGCAACCACCCAACACACGAGAATCCGTTCGGTACAACACCCGAAATGTATTGGTGCGTGTACGCGCGTGACGCACGATTCCCGTTTCGTGTCGTCCCTCTCGCATCCTCTGATCGCCTCTGTGTACAACGAATGTTTGCCTTTTTTTATCTTGCTCCCTTTGCCTCTTGCATCCTCTGATCGTATATGTTGGACTTAGAGTATGTTTTTGTCTGGCCCCCTTCCCCTTTCGCCCCCCTAGTCTTCTAGCTCTAGTCCCTTGCCTGCCCTTGCACCCCGCTTGCCACGAACACGCACACACTCAATCTTAGTCTTCTTCGGTTCTTGCTACGTACGGTATCTGTCTTCAATCCGGAGAGTAGTAGCATAGACCCCCCCCTCACGGGGTCCCTGGGGGGGTTCCCAGATCATGTGGCCTTTATAGAAGCATTTTCTGTTTTCAACCGCCCGACATTTTTTCATTGGTCAGCCAGTTAGATGCTAACATCAAGAACACACCCAATCAAAGGTCTGGAGCATTCGAGATCCGGCCACCGGGAAGGATCGCAGCTACGACTTTGTTACCACTGGCGCACCGACGGCCCACGCCCTGGGACACGTGGGCGGTGGGCTGGTGACCCTCCAGGTAAAATACATGCTCATGACAAGTTGGGTTTGTTTTTACGCTCATGGCAAGTTTTTTTTGTGGTTTCTTATGTAGTATAGTATTGTGTGACCCAACGAATCCATCTCTATCTTAGAAGAGTCTTGAGATAGACTAGCAATTAATTCATAGATAGATTAGCAATTAATTCATAGATAGATTAGCAATGCAATGAAATGATAGATTGATTAGCAATGCAATGAATTCATAGATAGATTAGCAATGCAATGAATTCATACATGGATTAGCAATGCAATGAATTCATAGATAGGTTAGCAATGCAATGAATTCATAGATAGATTAGCAATGCAATTTAAGCAATGCAATGAATTTATAGATGGATTAGCAAAGAATTCATAGATAGATTAGCAACGAATTCATAGCGTCAGAGAAGGCTACCTGTATTTCCACGATTTCCCGAGCAGCACACAGCGATATCTCCCCCGTGGGTGACAGGCTTGTTTTGTTTTGTTTTGCTCGACAGATTGTGTTTGTTTATTTTCTCCGTGTACAGTAAGCAGCCCGATATAGTGGGAACTTGAATAGTGGAGCTGCCGATGATAGTGGCATCAAAATATGTTGTCACAATCTCAACTTGTACATGAATCCTACGTATCGAATAGTGGCACTGCCCTGAAAAGTGGCGTATTCGCCTCTTGCCCCTACTTGCCACTATGTCGGGCTGTTTTCTGTACGTGCTCATCATTGCGGTATTTTTTTGTCCTTATTTATACTCATGTTTTTTTTTTTGGCATCCGAAAGGTATGCTAATGATTCGTTTGTACATATTTGCTCCGCTTATGTGCTATCATTGCGGTACCCTTTTTTTGGTCTGTCCGTATTGTTGCTCATGATTCCTTGTTTTTTTTTTAATGCGTTGTATTCTTTTTTGGTATATGCTTAATTTCTTTTTGTTTTTGCTCCGTATGTCATGATTCCGTTTGTATTTTTTTGCTCCTAATGTATGTACATGCTCAATAGTTTCGTTGATTGGCTCTTGTTCGGCTGGTTACAAACACGAACGATAGCAATAACAACCCCCACTCCGCCCTGTTCTTTCTGGTCCCGGCTGTCGGTTTTGACAGGAGAAGCTTCAGGCACTTGGTATGAAGGTCCTGGAGCTCCAGGGTAGTCGGAAAGAGTGCAAGGACAGGGGTGGAGTGAAGGCTGTCACGGAGCTCGAAGGAATCACCGACAATCTCAGGTTTGCCTGTCGTAGATTGTGACGTCACCTGTCGGAGATCTACCTTCGGGGTGTTGCCACAGTTAGAGTCAATGGAAAGTGGACGGTGAACCCGCATGCAAGTACAGCGGGCCAGCTCCCCCCCTTTGTGCACAACCCGTTCCATAATCTCTTCTAACTTCTCTCGCAAGAGGTTGAACTGTTGTGTCTCCACACTGCACATAGCGATGGAACTTGAGCCACACAGCGTTAACCTGGAGAGCCCGCTCTCGTAGAAAGTACAGCAGACAGCAGACAGCAGACAGCAGCAAAGCAAAGACGGTGTTTTACGTACAGGACGTGGTTGAATTGCAGACCCACAATCTCAGGTAGATACGCATAGAAGGGACAGCAGCAAAGCAAACGCCTGTTTTTCGTAAATCTGGTGTATGAAGGACGTGTTTACACCGACAATCTCAGGTTGGTATTCAATAGTAGTTCCGGTATGATGTCGGTTGAATAATTCTGGGTGCCCTATGTTGTGCGGGTGAAATCTCGTGACACAGATGGAATATCCAAGTTGTTTCATGCTGTACTCTTGAAAAATGTCGGTTGCCAGGTAATATCAGAGGGCTGGCACCTACCGGCAGTATTGCGGGACTACTACTGTATGTAGAAGGGACAGCAGCAAAGCAATGCTCGTGTGTTCCGTATTTAATGTGTGGACGGCTTGGTTGACTTCACGTCCCCATCCTCTCATCTCTTTATCGTCCGCGTTGTCACGTTGTTGATGTTGGTGGCGGTGTCGTCGCTTTGGCCGAACGCAGGACCGCCCTGCTCGAGTACGAGGTGCTGGGCGGGAAGGTGTCCATAAGGAGGGCCTGCGTCGTGAGTCAGGCCATCAGCATTGCCGCCACCAGCTTCTGTGCAAAGCTGGAGATGATGGCGAGGTATGGTAACGTTGCGGTAACGGTACGGTAACGGTACGGTATGGTACGGTAGGTGTTGGCAGGCTGTTGGTGGAGGAGTCACGTGGGGACTCTTTGCTTGACGTGTACACGAAGGAGTAGATAGCAGACTTTTTTTTTTCTTCCATGTGGATGGAAATTTCGCCAAGCATACCTCGTTAGCTGCCATGGTGTGCTGTCGTGATGAAGGTAGTCACTGCTCGTAGGTGTTGTTGTTGTTGTTGTTATTGTTGTTGTTACGCTACTGGTACATGGGGCATGGGAGAAACCAGTGACGTCGGGAAACCCATCCCCCCCCTCCCCTCTCTTTACCTATTCAGTGGAGAAAGGGACATTACGTGGTTGTCGGGAAAACGCCTAAGTAAGGTCGGAACAGGCAGTTGTGGGGGGAAGAAATACAGCACTCGAGAGCACACATTGTTTCGACAGCAGTCTCGAAAGAGAGTCTAGAATATGATGCTCGCGCGAATAGAGATGCCTCGTTTCTGGCACCTGATTTGAACACGCGATGCTGCTCTTGTCCGATTTGCAGGGGCACGCTGGATGTGGCGTCCGATCGCACCACGGGGGGGTGCGGCGGCTACGACGAGTTGGCGGAGCGGTGGGTGTCCACAGGCTTCCTGCTGGGATTCGAGGTGAGGTTTTGACAGAGAGGAAGAGAAAGTGAGGGAGGGGAGGGGAGAAAGGGGGAAGCAGCGAGAGAGGGTTGAGAATGATTGAGAGGGAGGGAGGGAGGGAGGGAGAGTTATTGTTTGCAACCCCCCCCCCCCGCGCCGGTGTTTGCCGTCGGGGTTGGGTTTTCGTCGCTTGGCTCCCGCGTTTTTGCTCCCCCCTCTTCCCTTTTTGGCCTGTGTCTCCCGGGTTCCGCTTCTCTTTTTTTCCCCTCTTTTTTTGCGG